GGCAGAAGAATTAATAACGGAGAACAATGCAAAAATCAGCGGGGTGAGTTTCACACTTTCAGGCTTTCAGCTGCTGTTTCTCCAACCATCGCTTCATCTTCAACATGAAGTTTTGTTCCTCTTTTAGTTCTTTCATTTTTACTTTTTTCACTTTAAATCACAAAACCTGCATCGAACATCTCAAAGGAGGATTTCTAAATGTGTAAGTTTAGCTCCACATCTGACCAATAATTAGCTTAAACTGAAGCTGACTGCTCCTCTTTGTCTGCTGTGGATATGACTTCCTTCATCAGCCACTCAATTAGATTTATCTGACAGACTGTGCCGTCTTTGTTCAGGCAGAGGTGAAGCTCTCTACTCTGCCTGCTTTGTGAGGTCCGGTTCATGAGGACTAGCAGCGTCCTTCACCTTTTACTGAAGACCAGATGTTCAAAAACATTATAATCCCCCCAGCCGTTAGCTCAGGTCAGGGCCAGCTGAGATCGACGAGTGGGCTTCAGATCAAAGATGGTTCCTATGAACATCGCCTCTGTTTCTCTCATGTTTCATGTGACTTCTGATCCCGGGTGGCTCAAAACGCTGAGCAAACCTCGTCTTCTGAAGCTCTTTAAACGACTTTAAATCTTTACGGTTTTATTTTAATCACTTCAGATTTCCTCACTTCTCTATCTCTGTTCTCGTCTCCTCAGCATCTCACGGGGTCACTGCTGGCGGTGGCTTTCCTGGCCTCATTTGGCAGCTCCATGCTTTACGGATACAACCTGGCGGTCATAAACTCACCTGCAAAGGTTAGTGCTTCTGTTATGAGCTGGTTTGTTAGCAGTTAGGCCCTGAAACGGCCCCATCACATGCTGCAGTGTGGGGTCATGTGGTCCTCTGCGCATAAGCAGCACCGTGTCATTGATATTCTTCACTTTTTAATCCATCATGCGCTCCGTTTCACCCTTTCAGGGGTCAATTTGCTGTTAATAAGCTGTGACACATTCCTGTTTCTGCACAAACAGTTGACCCTGCTGCATTTGGGAACCCTCTGACATTCCTCGGGACAGGATGTGATGCTTTAAAAAAAAAAGATAAAGAAAACTAAATGTTATACTCAGACATGAGAGGGAGGGATGGTGAGGGATAAAAGTGAGGTTCCTCCAGCAGTCTGAATGGTATTAAAGTTTTGGATTGTCTCCTCCACCAGTACATCAAAGCTTTCTACAACCAGACATTATTTAATTATCAAGACTGGACTCCAAATCAGCATTACCTCACCATCTTGTACTCCCTGACCGTCTCCATCTTTGCCATTGGTGGGATGATCGGTGCCTTGCTGGTGGGCAGACTTGCCACTAAATATGGAAGGTAGGTGTTCATGGATTATTCCTTTTGTGTACAGGCAACCCAGTTGTTGACATAAATGAACTACAACCGTTCTTTGTGCCACCAACAGAAAAGGGATCCTGGTGAGATCCACCATCCTGGTGTTCATTGGAGGAGCTTTGATGGGCTTCAGCCGCTGGAGCAGAAAACCTTCCATGGTCATTGCTGGACGCTTCATTACAGGAGTGCACTCAGGTGGGACCAACTCATTCCCAAAAGACTGAGACTTTATTCAGATTCACACAAAACTTGGATAATCTGTTCCAGACACCGTCTCGGTCCAGGTCAGTCTGGCAAGCCATTCTCCTGATGTAAAAGTGTACGTTAGTTCCATTCAGTTCTATTTATTTATGAAGCGCTAGATCATCAGTCGTCTCAAGGGACCTTCACAGTAAACATTCCACTACAGCTCTGGGGCCTCATTTAGCAAGCTTGCATACAAACAAAACGGGGTCGGAAAACTGCGTAAGCAACTTTCCACGCAAACTTTGGGATTTGTGAAAGAAAACTTAGTGGAAAAATGTGCGCAACTTTGAGTTGACTGAGGACCTGGCTTACGCACATGTTGGACGTGGAGAGCACCTGCAGTGCTGCTGCTGAGAAGGATAACATTATGAAATCCTGCAGCATTATCACTTGTACTGCTTCATTTTCACACAGAACAAGACCCCCCACACGCACACACACGCGTGCGCACACGTACACACATGCGCGCACCTCACACACACGTGCGCGCGTGCACGCACACACACACAGCCTGAAGCGCAGAATACGGAATGCAGAATATCAGCAGGGGGACAGATTGAGACAGAATGTCATGCGTCTGCGACAGTGTGTGTCCTGTCACTGTGACCCGATTGATCATGTGCCCTGGCTACTTGTACAGGGGAGATCTCCGTTTGGGTGACTGGTTAGCACGTGTGACTTTCACCCAGGAGTCTGGGGATGAGATCCCAATTGGACCATTTTTTATATCTGCCACAGATCTCTCTGAAGAACTCACAGCATTGACGGCTTCAGCAACGCTGTGCCACTCCGTGGATTTTCTCTTATTTGTTTTGCAAAATTCAATTCAAATTCAAAGATACTTTATTAATCCCAGAGGTAAATTAGAGTTCCAGTACACACAATTCTGAGATCAGACATACATATATAGGCAAAGACACATGACAAGAATTGGTGACTGTGGTCATTCGCAACCCGAGTTGCGCTACCTTAATAGAGATCAGAGGGTTTATATGAGGATAGAGTCAGGTGGAGGAAAAAAGGCACTTCAGAGTTACCCTCCACAGGGAGGGCAGCTTTGCTATGCAAAAAACACCTCAGGCAGAAATACAACAGACTTCAGACATTACACAACATAAGGGTCCACTAGGTGGGGCGGTAGGGTTGGGGACTCTCCACATGTCAGTGCATGCAGCCACGATAAGCAGCGCTCGTCACCTCCGTCCGTCTGGACAGGGGAGGGAGGTAGTTGGGTTAGAAAGCACAGTGACTCCTGGAAACGTTACACGGCCTTCACCGGTCACAGTCCCGCCAAGGCTGGGATAGGGAGACAGAGCTGCCATGGCAACGGCAGCATTCCACATTTCTTCTGAGGGGGGAGTAATCACTTCAGCCTCACAGGCTCAAGGGCACCAGATTCAGATAAGAAATTGTTTTGGGGCCAGACAGAGATAATTTCCTCTCTGTCTTAAAGTTCCGTTGGTCTCCAACCCCTCTAGATCCAATCATGGCGTATGAATCTATTCCCAATCTGTGCTGACCCGTCAACTCGCTCCTTGATCGAATCCACCTTCTGTGCCAGAGCCTGAATCTTAGCCAAAGTTCCAAGCTTACGACTCATCTCGACAATAATATGAGTTTGCACTTCTTCACCTCACCCACAGGTACCTCAACTTCTGCTTCTGTGAAATTGTGCTTCCTTGATCTGCCTTGATCTACAGTCGCCATGTCATTGGCGGAGCGCTGCAACAGCCGGCTTATGTATATGCATGAGGTCCACAAGGCACTTTGCGTTGACTATTTATGGCAGTAAGTGGGCGTGGTGAGGGCGGGATGTGACTAAACTGCAGCTGAGAAACATTCTCGTTAGTCTCCGATTTATGAAGCGGAGATTGCGTGCAGCTGTGCGTACTCCATGTTTGATAGATCACAAACCTGCTTGGCGTAAGTACATATTTTTTCCTGAGCTTTAAGTACGGTTTTAGTAAGGATTCTATGCAATGTTTGATAAATGAGACCCCAGGTCATTAAGCCAGTCAGTAACAAGTTTCCTATATAAGGAACCCAGCAGGTTGCATCGAGTCACTGACTAGTGTCAGAGTCTTTACATATTCCAGTCAGAATGGGCTAAGCTCCTCGGATGAGAAGAGAAACGTCTTCAAGAAACCAAGAAGTCCAGTCGCCTTCATTTGAACCCTTTTGGATCCTCTAAGCCTTCTCCCGTCTTTAAGTCAACTTCAGGGTTCATTTCAAGATCCTGGTTCTGGTCTATAGGGCCTTACATGGACAAGCGCCATCTTACATCGGTGATCTTCTTAGTCCCTACACCCCCAGCAGGTCCCTGAGGTCCAGTGATCAAAGCCTACTGGTTGTGCAACGCACCAGGCTGAAGACCAAAGGTGACAGATCATCTGCTGCTGTGGCCCCCAGACTCTGGAACTCTCTCCCCTTGAGCCTGAGATCAGTGGACTCAGTGGTCTCCTTCAAAAAGCAGCTGAAGACTCACTTGTTCAAGCTGGCTTTTGTATGATCTTGTTCAACCACTCTCTCTTTATTCTGCTCTCCCCACCTATTCTACCTTCCTCAGGATCCACTGATTTCCCTCTTTCCTATTCACTCTCTCTCTTTCTTAACATATTTTCTTTTAAATCGCAATTGCTTATTTTTGTTCATTTTAAATATATTTTTAAACATTTTCTAAATGCTTTTTTATATTTTTACATTTTTATTTTTTTTATTGTTTGTTTTTGTGAAGCGCCTCGTGATTTTTATCTTGAGAGGCGCTATAGAAATGATATTTTCTTCTTCTTCTTCTTTAGACGTTGACGTGTTTATACATCAGGGATTTTGTTGTAAACTCACTTAAAACTTGATAAACTTCTTCTCAGCCTTCAGAGAGTACAGACGCTTTTTTCTCAGCTCCCTTATCGGCTTCCCCAAGGCTCTTGTCCTGTCTGCCTACAGAGCACTTCTCTGCATTTCTCCTGAAACCACTACTCTTTTTTGGAAATATGGACTTAATTAACTGGTCATTCAACGCTATTGACAACATTTTTTCTACAATGAGAACGGAGAAGGGGGCTCCCACCTGTCCCGAGGGGACATTCGCATCAGGATATGCACTCGATTCTTGGGAGGTCTGGCGAATCGTGTGCCTCTCTCAGCTGTCCATCGAGGACGTGGAAGATTTGTGGATGTTCGGCCTGATGATCACTGGATTTCTTCTGATTAGAGTGGGAGGATATCTGGTTTTCTGGAAATTTGGGAAGATGGGAGCGATTGGAGTGCGACCCGTGCCCACAGAATGTGCCGCTCGGACAGTGACCTCACAGACTGGGACGTTACTCGAGGTGAACCGTAAGCTGGACAATGTCCTTGCGGCATTGCCTGTGTTAGTACGCAAGATGGATTTGATCTCGGAGAGGGTCGCCGGACGATGCGGGGATGTTTAGAATGTAAAATTGGTTTCACTGGTGGACATGAATGACCACTTAGAGACTCCAAGGCGGAGAGGAAAATTATCTCTGCCTGCCCTAAACAAAGTCATGTTTATCCTTATCTGACGCCATAGCAGCCTCTCAAGGCTGCCTCAACACACCCCCACGAAAGGAAGAAAGCCAACAGATGCTGTGTCCCGACCTTCACCCTCTTCCTTCAGACTGACATGTCTGCGGGAACTTCAATGTGCTCTCTGGTCCTTATCTCTCCATCCCACCTGTTGGTCTGCAGCTGGTCGATGCGCCGTAGTGGCAGCTCCCATTGGAGGCTTCAGGATCCCGCCCAACCCCGCCTCCCCAAAGGACTCTGATGTTGTATCTGTGCTGTTTTGTGCTTCCATGTTGAAAGGAGTTTTTTTGTATAATAGAGTTACTCCCCGCTGGGGCTAACTCTGCTATGCCTTTTTTTACCTACCCCCACTTATCCTCATGTAACACCCTTTTCATCTATCTATTAAGGTAGCGCGACTCATGTTGCGAATGACCGCAGTCACCAATTCTTGTCATGTGTCTTACCCACGTATGTCTGATCTTTGAATTGTGTGTGCTGAAACTGAATATCATTTCTCTGTATGTCCTGCACATGTGGTAGAAAATGACAATAAATGGCTTTGACTTTGACTTTGACTAACAGTGTGCATCGCACATTGATAGCAGGCAGTTTAGTTGTTGTTTTGCTACCCAGCCTGTCGTGCATGCGCCCAAAGTTGGAGAAAGATATCAACAACGATCCTCCAACTCTGCTGTCGTTGTAAACAAAGAAAGAGCTCTATCGCGATGGTTCCAAGCCTGCCCACACCTACATGAAGCGCTGTGATTGGCTCGGCTTACACTTAGCCTAGCCAAGGGCAGACCTGCTGAAACTACAATGGAGCACGGCTGACCAACTTGGAGAGCTAAAGCTTTGCTACTGCAATGGTTTGTCTAGATTTCAGGTTTTTAGCACAAACAGAATAAAACTTTTACAAGGAACGATGCCGAAGCCTACAGAACATTGATTTAGTCGCCTTTGTTGGCTCCAAATGGGTCACTAAAAGGATCTAACCCTCTACAACATGTGTTGTTTCTCACACTGAAGCAGACTTGTCTGTATTGTTTTCTCCTCATCAGGGATCTCCCTCAGCGTGGTGCCGATGTACCTCGGTGAGATCGCTCCAAAGAACCTGCGAGGCTTCCTGGGTCTCATTCCCAGCATCCACATTTGTCTTGGAGTTTTTATCGCTCAAGTCCTGGGGCTCTCAGAGCTGCTGGGGAAGGTAATAACTGAAACACCTGTACCAGCTATAAACCCAGTTACACGTGAAGTTAAATCAAGGATTTTTATGTAACTTGATCAAATAGTAAACACCGTCTATGTTTACAATATCCATTTGTTTGTGCATCCATTTGCCTCCACTCGAGTCGTGGGAGCGTTTTCAGCTCATCTCAGACGTCCTCGCTGAGCGAAGCTTACGAGTCACGTTCTAACACAGCGTGGCCCAACGCTCAGACCTGACTCTTCACACTGTACTTGTGGTAGCAGCACATCGGACCTAAAATATGCTAAATAACGTCGTTCTCACATGACACGTCAGACCTTCGAGTCCGAAGACCCGGAGGCTGTTACTGGTGTCTGTGATCACTCAGGCTTGCCGTAGTTGTAGGACATGCATGGGTCTATGGGGCTGGAGGAGGAAGACAAAAGGAAGGAAGTAAACCGAGGCTTTGGGATACATTTTTATTTGACATAAACTCTTCAAACATGCTTTCTTGACAATCCTTGCCATTGCGTGTGGAGAAAAGAGCAAAAAGCAATGAAAAGACGACGTTTGCTGTGTGAGCACTTCGGATACTTTTGGGTCGCAGCAGTTCTTCAACAGTTTGGGACCCTCACAAGGGACGAGCAAAATGCCAAACATGTTTGACTTTCGTGTGATTGCATGAATGCTGATTGGGAGCTGGTCATGTGGTGTTAATCACCTCTCACTACCTTCTGTATAGCACCCCTACTACCCCTACTTCACATATTCCCAAATTGGCTCAACATGGCCAAAAATTGCACAGTGTACACCCGGTTAAAGCAGAGAAGCCTAGACTTCCCTCTCCCCAGCCACTTGGGCCAGCTCCTCTGGGGGAATACCAAGGCGTTCCCTGGCCAGCTGAAAGACATAGTCCCTCCAGCGTGTCCTGGGTCTTCCCAGAAAACCTCACAAGGTAAGTGTCCGGGAGGCATCCTAACTAGATGCTCAAGCCACCTCAACTGGCTGCTCTTGATGTGAAGAAGCAGCAGATCTACTCTGAGCCTCTCCCAGAAGACTGAGCTTCTCATCCTATCTCTAAGGGTAAATGGCCTGTATTTGTACAGCACCTTTTTAGGGTTTTGACCCCCAAGACACAATCAGTCATTCACCCATTCACACTCTGGTGATGATGAGCTGCAATGGGATGTCTCAGTCTGCCTCTGAAGGAGCTGTCCATGGTCGTGGATAACAGAGCCAACCACAGAGTGATAAAAGCATTTTAGCAGATGGGAATTAACTCCGAAGGACCTCAGCTTCCTCAGGAGGTGGAGGCGGCTTTGGCCCCTCTTATATAGAACATCTGTGTTGTTGGACCAGTTCAGTTTGCTGTTGAGGTGAACACCCAAGTACTTAAAGGTATCCATCACCTTTGTGTCTGCTCCCTGGATGTAGCCACAGCTGCCCTGGGGCGCGTTGATGGAAGCAAGACCGCTGAACACTGGCACCACCAGTCTCTCCA